AAGGAAAGGAAAGAGGGAAGGAAGGAAAGAAGGAACGAAAAGAAGGAAGGAAAGAAGGAAAGAAAGGCAATGTTTGGGTGCTTTGGCACCTACGGTCCGTTTCAGTTCATCCAATCCAACCATGAGCATCTGTTGATTGCGCCGCAACTGATCTTTCTTGAATACCGTAAGAACTTGAACAGAATCCGGAACGTAAAACACAAGCGTGCATGACGTATTGGGTTGGCTTCATATGGCTCATACATGCACGGTGGGCTGTTAGAGCGAGTGCAGCTGCAGTGCATAGTCAGTGAGCAGGCCACAGAGCAGGGCGAGATGAGCTCGACTCAAACTGAGTTTTGAGTCGACTCACAGGCGTGCATGACACACGGGTTGGGTGGGTTTGAGTGGCTCATACATGCACGGTGGGCTGGTAGAGAGAGTGCAGCTGCAGTGCATAGTCGGTGGGCAGGCCACAGAGCAGAGCGAGATGTGCCATGAGCGCACAGCGCTGCTCTGGGCTCGCGACACAGGCCACCAGACAATCCACCACCTGGAAGAACCACGGGGACGAGAATGGGAGAGAGAGGGACAACAACAATGAAGGACAACAACAATGAAGGGGAGCGAGCGGAACCAGTTTTTAGGCACCTCAAAAAAGGCTCTGGACTCACCACACACGCCACCAGGCAATCCACCACCTGGAAGAACCACGGGGATGACAATAGGAGAGAGAGAGGGACAACAACAATGAAGGGGAGCGAGCGGAACCACTTTTTGGGCGCCTGAAAAACAGGCTCAGGACTGGCCACGTAAGCCACCAGGCAATTCACCACCTGGAAGAACCACGGGGACAAGAATGGGAGGGAAAACAATGAGAGGGGGCGCGTGAAACCAGTTTTTAGGAGGCTCAAGAATAGGCATTGGGCTGGCAGAAAAGGCCACCAGGCAACCTACCACGTGAGGAACCAAGGGGGATAACAAGGGAGAGAGCAAGGAGAAGGGATGAGAAGGAACGAAGGCATGAAAGGAAGGACGGAGCGTTTACAAGTGTTGACACTGACATTGGAAACGCTTTTAATAATTCTCAAAAGAACATCCAGTTTGTTGACACACCGGCTCCATGCGCTTCAAGGCAGCAGCTTGGTGTCCCCAAGGCTACAAATCCAAGTGCATGCTCAGAAACATGGAAACGGGGTGGCACAACAAGCACCACCAAAGCAGCACAATGAGGCCTGAGAATGGAGAGGAAGAACGGTAAGGAGAAAAAGGAGCTGACCTCAAAGAAGATGCGCTCGCGCACAGCATGTGGAAGGGTCATGGTGGGCGTGGGTTGAGTGGGGAGCGAGGCGGGGAGTGGCAGGGAGTGCAGGCGGAGAGCGATTTTCATGGTGTCCCTGCGGGGGATTGGTGACAAGGGAGAGGGGAGAAGACGGGCGGATGGTGTTGGGGGTTGAGAGGAAGTTGAGGAGGCGGAGTGGGAAGAGGGAGATGCAGGTGTGAGTGCAGCAGACGGAGAACAAGGGAGAGCGAGGAGGTGGATGGTATTGCGCTAGTCAGTGCCAGCCGCCGTCCTGAGGCGGCACATCCACAGTGTCAGCACGCCTCTTATGAGCTGATTAACGACCTTATATGGGCCAGCTGAGGCCAGCAGGCCCCGGAATTCAACCTGGAGAAAAACCTGAGAGGAAGCGCAGCGCACCTGAGAGAGACCTGCCGGCTGTATCGAACAGATATTCCTCCTGAAGCAGAAGCCTCAGCAACAGCCAGCTGCGGTTGGTTCTGTTGGTGCTGGAGAAGGGAGGAAGAGAGAGGCATGCCCGATGCTACTCTCCCAACGGCTTCAACCAGGTCTGACCAGAGCACGTGGTGATGATTGGGGCAAGAGTGAACGGGAAGGAGGGAGGTGGGAGAGAGGTGTGGGGAATCGAGGGGGGCCAGCATAAAGAACAAAGGAAATCGAGAGGGGAGCGGAACAGCAAGGAAAAAAAAAAACAAAACAAAAAAGCACGACAAAAGTAGAGTGGGGACGTACCGAGGAGAGTGGGGACGAGGGCGGAGAGGGAGGGGAAGGAGGAGGTGAGGATGGTGGGCAGCTCAGAGGCGTGTGGCGGGTGGATGTGCACTGTGTGGAAGTGAGACGCCAGTAGCGAGTCCACTGAGGAGTGGGGAGTTGAAAAGGTGGGGGGGGAGAGAGTGGGTGTAGGGGAACAGAGCACAGCATAAGGGGAAGGGGTCAGAGGCGTGTGTGTGGCGGATGGATGTGCATGGTGTGGAAGTGGGACGCCAGTAGCGAGTCCACTGGGAGGGGGGCGAAGAGGGGGACAGAGCACACCACACCGGAAGAATGCAGATGCAAAGCGTGGGGTGCGGATTGATGAAGTGGGGAGAGAAGCGCGCTGGGGGAGGGTGGATCTGTACGATGCGGAAGTGGGAAACCAACAGCGCGTCCTCAAAGGAGGCAGACGGCAAATAGTTTTTCAACAACAACATGGCACAAGGAAAGGAGGGTGGTTCTTTCATCTCCAGCAGGAGCAGCAGGGGCAGCAAGAGCAACAGCAGCAGGACTCGCTCGCTCGCTCGACTGACTCACCTCCAGACGCTGCTGATGAGCGCATGGACGCGGACGAGGCAGCAACGGCCTTGGTGGCAAAGATCTGAAAGCCATCCGCTGCTTGCAAGGGCTGCAGAGGCGTGAGAGGGAGAGAGATAACAATGGTGAGAAGGCGTGCTGCGCCTGGGTTATGTATGTATGCATGCGTTCTTCTTCTGACCTAGCCCACGGACCACCCTTTACCTGTGGATGTCCAGACAGGTGCAAGCAAGCAGCAGCCCTGCAGCAGAGCAGACACGGTGAGAGCGGAGAGCCAGGAGGGGCGTACCTGAGAGTGACCAGGCAGGTGCAGTGCAGGCGACAACCCTGCGGCACAGCAGACACGGTGAGAGCAGGAACGGCAGGAGCAGCTTACCTGGGAGTGACCAGGCAGGTGTAGGCAGCGATCCTGCAGCAGTGGCAGCAGCGAGGAGAGCAGGTCGAACGGCGCCCCTGAAATGTTCTCCAGCAGCACCCACAGGCCCCGCGCTGCTGCCTGTGGGGGGAAGAGGGGCGGGGGGGGGGAGGTGTGGGAGAGGAGGGGTTGCAGGAGGTGGGCAAGTGAAAGGGAGGAGGAGGATAGGTACGGGGGAGCGGCAAGAAGTCAGGAGGCCAAAGATGGGTGGTGGAATGGAATGGAAGGAGAGGGAGAGAAGCAAAGGTGACATTCTCAGGTAACATTTCCATTATTAGCACAAAAGGAGAGGAGAGAGGGACACGGACACCCTTAACGGCACCATTGAAGGCGGCAAGAGGTAGTGGGGATGGAAATAGAGGGTACGAAAGGAGTGGGGCGGTCGGGGAAACAGCAAACGCATGGGGGAGAAGAAAGGCAAGGCAGTGAGAAGAAAGGCAGGGCAGGGAAGTGAGAAGAAAGGCAGGGCAGGGCAGTGAGATCCGGGAAAACGTACAAGGGTGAGGACGCCAGGGCGCCACTCGAACTCCCCAGGGACGTCCGTGCACACGTAGGAGCCGAGCAGCGTCTTGCCATCCATCTGATCGTCCATGTGCACTCGCACCATGTCTGTGGATGGGAGGAGAGGGGCAGGAGGAGAGAGGAGAGGGGGAGAGGGGCAGGAGGAGAGGGAGAGAGGAGATAGGGAGAGGGGGAAGGGAGATGGGGAGAGGAGATGGGGTTAGACGGGCAGAGGGGGAGGCGCAGATGCGAAGGGGTATTTTAGTTAGACAGACAAGCGGCTCTTCAAAACGACAGCATGGAGAATGAGCCACGTGCTTTAAAAGCATCAGACAAGCAGAAGAAACAAGCGCAACACGAGCGAATCCCCATGAAGCACAACCACGAGCAGCAGCAGCAGAAGCACACCATGAATATGAGTGCAATGGCCAAGGAAGCCCACGAGAGCCCTCTTGCTGCTTCCCACCCCATTCAAAACCACTGCACACCATGACAGAAGTTGCCCACCATACATGACATGTTCCCCCGGCCCCACCCCCACCCCCAGCGCGCACCATAGTTGCGAGTGCAGTGCGCAAGGAAGTCCACCAGAGCCGTCTTGCCGCTGCCCACGGGCCCTGCGAGCAGCAGCGGCTGGTGCTGGCACAGCGAGAGCACCAGCGACTGCAGGTTGCTGCGCGCCGTGGCTGTGCCCACCAGACGCGGCGAGGCCAGGGGGGAGGACGATGCGGTTCTGGAGAATAAGAGATGGATGGGTGGAGGGGAGTGGCACAGGTCGGCACGGAAGTGCAATGGGGATAAGGGAGGGTGAGGTTCGAGCGACTGCAGGTTGCTGCGCGCCGTGGCTGTGCCCACCAGGCGTGGGGACGCTAGTGGGGAGGATGATGCGGTTCTGTGGAGAGTGGGGGAGATGGAAGCGGGAGGACGGGCGGTGGGGGGAGGGGGGAGGAATATCGTGGGAGCAACAGGGATGAGGGAGGATGAGGGGGGACCGACTGCAGGTTGCTGCGCGCTGTGGCTGTGCCCACCAGGCGCGGCGAGGCCAGGGGGGAGGACGATGCCGTTCTGAGAGAGTGGGGCGGGATGAAAGCGGGAGGAGATGCACAGTTGGAACAAGATAGGCCGGAGGGGTGGGGGAGGGGTGGAGAGAGTTAAGGAAGCCATGTGGCTGTATGTACCCACCAGACGAGACGATGCCAGACCAGCGGGTGGACGATGCGATTTTGAGCGGGTGGAGCGAGATGGAAAACAAGAGGCGTGTGGTTGGGACGAACGGGATGAGGGAGGGCGAGGGACGAGATGGAGAAAAGGTGGCTTGGCTCACTCACTCACTCACTCACTCACTCACTCACCCACTCACTCACTCACCCACCCACCCACTCACTCACTCACTCATCCACTCACTCATCCACTCACTCACTCACCCACCCACTCACTCACCCACCCACTCACTCACTCATCCACCCAACCACTCACTCACCCACCCACTCACTCACTCATCCACTCACTCACCTGCCAACAGGCCTCTGAGGCAGGTCCACCCCGAGCACAGCAACCGTGTTGAACCGCGACGTGCTGCTTGCTGCCAACACTCCCGCTCCCGCTCCTCCTCCTCCTCCACTCGCCCCCTCTCCCTCTCCCCCACCGCCCCCGTCAAAGGAGAAACCCCCACTCGAGGTGGTGAGCACAGGGGCTTGGAGCGGTGAAAGCGCGGAGGGAGCAGCAGAGGCACCGCTGGGATCAGTGCCTGGTGCTGCTGAGGCATCGGTACCGCTGAGGGTGCCTTGCAGTGAGTCGGATTGGAGAGGCGAGAGCAGGAACATGGGCGCCCGCTCTGCCTCCACGTGTGTGGCCAGCTGACGCCAGCTGGGGAGGGAAGGGGAGAGAGGAGGACAGGTGGGGGAGATGGGTGTGTGGTTTGAGTTGAGGAAGAAGAGGGGAAAAGGTGTGGAAGGGGGGGAAAGGAAGTAGGGAGGAGATGAACAATAGGTATGCGCTATGCTTCGACAGTGCACCGATGCACGGATGCACGGGAATCGGGATGTGCCACACGCACGCACGGCCAAATGCAGGCGCTGAGAGCACACAATGCTTGAGTGTCCTGCACGCGCACGTGCCCATGCGCCCTGCACGCAGAGCAGAGGCACAGGACGCGTGGGCAGGCTTACCGGAAATGGAAGTGAGCGCGGTGTGTGGCAGTGAGAGCACACAATGCCGACCCCACACGAGTGCACGTGGCCTCATCAAACGACAACACCAGAGACACAATCTCCAGTGCCACCCATCGCACCTCCTCCCACTCCTCGCCCCGCCTCCCCGCCTCTTCTTCCGTCTCGCCGGATCGGCTGGGTTGATGGGAGGAGGTGGATGCGGGCAGGAGGAGGGGGAAGAGCGGCGACCAGTCCCAGAGGGAAGCGAATGTGGGGAGGGAGGTGAGGAGGAGGCGGAGGGACGTGAGGAGGGGAGGCAGCAAAGCAGAGGGATCCTGTGAGGGAGAGAGGGGTTGGAAGGAAGGGAGTGTGAGAGTGCTGTTGTTGACTGGGAGGTGCAATGTACTACTAGGAGTGATGCGATGAAGCGTTTGCTTGTGTTGACTGGCCTCTTGCATGCAACAACCATTTTTTTTTCTCCTCTAATCCAGTGAGGGAGCCAATAGATCAAGGGCGGAAGGAAACGGCGTTACATGCGGAACCATCCCTCCCTTTCTTCACCACACCAACCAAAGCCCGCAGCACCAAACACAATACCAGTCAGTCATTCAACCTGTCAACACTCACCTCAGCACTGGCTCCGTCACACAGCAGGAGCCTGAGGAATGGAGGTGGGTGGGAGGCGAAGAACGGCCTGAGGTGGTTCACGCTGTGCGGAGCAATGGCTAGAACGATGCTCAGCGCCTCACACACCGTCTCATACTCCTCCACCCTTCTTCCGCCTCGCCCTTCCACTTCCTCCTTTTCGCCCTCCCTGCTCCCTTGCCCTTCTGCCCGTGTGCCCCTCCTCTCCCCTGCTTTCATCTGCCGTCTCCACTTTCCTTCCAATGCACGTTTCCCCTCCCCTGCTTCCCCTTCCCACTCCATTCCATCTTCACCCTCCAAATCTTCCTTCTCTCCTTCCTGTCCCTGCCTTGGCTCTCCCTGTTCCTTCTCTTCCTCCTCCTCCTGCTCCTGCTGCCCGCGCTCCGCATTCCCCTTCTCCCGCGCCCCCTCGTCCGCGCCCCTGCGCCCCTGCTGCCATCGCGTGGTGGCTGCGCGCAGCAGCGGCAGCAGCACGCTGCGGAAGGCGACAGCAACCGCAGCGGAGTAGCGCGGGTTGAGAAGCAGAGGGGCCACGGTGCTCTCAACCTGCCAGGTCGCCGTGGTGGTGATGGTGGGCGGGTGGATGGGGGGTTGGGTGGGTGTGTGGGTGGGTGGGTAAGGAGAGAGGGATGGGCGTGGGAGAACATCACGGTCAAAACCCCTTCATCGTGACAGGCAATCACAAGTGCCAAGCACAGGTGGTAACCACAGGTGGAAAGCACACATGGCAGCAGGTGGCAAACACAGCTTGAGACAAAACCCTCAACCTCGACTGTGCCCAGGATTTGTTGACGCGCAACCAGCAAGAGCTCACGGATCGGCAAGGCAATGCGAGCACTAATTACTGTACGGCTAGCTTGCCTTTACGCACGGAGGATGAAAATACCACCAAAATCGTGACTCAAACAGCTCAATCTTAAAGAGATGAGTAAAACCCAAACCCTGAGCCTCCTGAAACCCTGGTGAGATGGAGGGAGGTTGACTGCAGAAGGGCGCGGCACAGTTGAAGCTGAACGAGACAGCACCCAGGCGCCCATCCATAAAACCGACTAAACCCTGCCGCAAACGGGGGGAGCCTTTGAAGGCTTCTAAGCCCTCACGACTTTCGAGGCCTTCGCAGCATCCATTTTCCCACCTCGTCCTCCTACTGAAAATCTCTTAAACGAATGCTCACGGGGCAAGAAATGTGCCTCTCGACAAACCCCTCTTAACCTCTGAACTCCGATCCCCCTCCTTTCCTACTTTTCTTTCCTACTTGTTCCCTCCCGTCTTGCTCCTTCCTCCCCACCTTGCTCCAGTTTTCCCGCTTTGATCTTTCCCCATCGACCTTTCTCCTTTTCTCCCTTTTCTCCTCCCCTAAGAATATCGAGAGTATCGCAGCTGCACCACGCACCACAGCCACACCACGCACCACAGCCACACGACGCACCTCGTCCCATCGCAAGTGCGTCTTCGCAACGGCCTGTCGGATCGCGTCCACCAACTGTAGCTCCGGAAATCGCGCAAGCAGCGCTACAGCGGCCCGCCTCCACTCACTGCCCTCGCCGCCCGCCATCCCCGCCGCGCACGCGCGCTCGCCGCGCGTCGCCTTGTAACGGGTATGATCCTCAGCAGGGCTCTTGCTCGCTGTAGGCCTCAAGGAGCAACCAACAAAGTCCTATGTCTCTTAGTCACCCCAACAATCTTTGAGCCGCCTCAAAAACAGGGTTCTTGCTCGCTGTGGGCCGCGAGGAACAAGCAGCAAGGTCCTATCTCTCTTAGTCACTCCAACAGACTCCTGGTGCACTACACGGCGTGGTTTACAAGAAAGTACTTATGATTAATAGGTTGGAGTTGCAACCGACCGAAACGAGATGAAGTTGTTACACGGTTGATGATAATACGAGCCTTTCTGCCGTGGCGCCGACGATCTAATCGAGTCCCTGCAAGCAGGGGTAACGCAAATGGAGGGGAACCTAACCACTAGCGCCACGAACCATTGCTACACAATACCGAAGACAGGCATCAAGTCTGCTGCTGGGGGAATTGAGAGCTTTTGTGGTAAGGAGCTCCACAGAAACCCGAAACCCCTGCGAACAACCACCTAATGGTGGGGTGATGATACGGCTGAAGAATGAAGCCTCGTGCACAATTTACTAACTCTAATGAACCACATGGAACGAGCAAAACGAGGATATTACTAAAGGGGGGAAATTATATAATGCAAGATATATTTCAGTTTCCTTACCCGAGAGCTGATTCCATCGCGTACAACACTTTCAACAGGCTCCAACAATAGTGTTCGCCACCTTGCGCGCTAGTTTCGCTAACCCGAGCACAACTGTACAAGGCCGAGCCGATTTAAGCCACACCAAAACTTGCTGTAAGATTTGCATAGTCAAAATCGCATTCGTGCGTAACTTGATTTTCTATTCATTATATATGGTTCAGTCATGTCTTCGCTCACACATGATTTTTTTATTAGTCTTTGGCAAGCCAAATGGAGTTAAGATAGTGAAAGCCCCGAGTCGAATGGCATTACCTATAGAAAAGTAAGAGCGCGTTCCTACGGCCTCGTATCAGGCAACCTCGTATCAGATTCGCGGCGAACGACCCTGAAACGCATCCAACCGCAGTCGAACACACCGAAACGTATTTCAACGCGCAAAGTTGATACGAGATGTGTCGGCCTCCGGCGATGAGGGGAGCAGTGGGGCGTCGCCTGTGGCGCCGGCCAAGTGCATCGCCGGTGGCCGACGTGACACCCCGCGGGAGAAGACGAAGCGGGCCGCGGGACCGCGGGAACACGGGACCGCGGTGACAGGGGAGCAGCTGACAGGGGCCGCGGGACCGCGGGATCACGGGACCGAGGTGACAGGGGAGCAAGCAGTTTAGAAGCCGACCACGGAGCAGTCGGCAAGGGAGAAGTCGCCCGAGATGCCAACCGTGGTGCAGCCGGACGCTGAGGGCATCGACGCCGCGGAGCCGACGACAGGGGAGCAGTCGGACGCCAACCGCGGGACCGCGGGACTGCGAGGAGCCCACCGACAGTGATGTGGTGGATGTCCCTCCTGGTACTAGGCGAACAGGCCGAATTCGAAGGCATCCCGACTTCTTTGTCCCGGCCGCCTTCACCATGGTGTACGACGTTGACGACGACGACCTGGCGTACGACGACGCCGAGGACGATGAGGAGTTTCCGGAGCTCGACCCCGACGTGTACGCCGATCCCGAGCATCGTTGGGACATCGCGACGATGACGGTGAAGGAGGCGCTGGCGAGCTGGAAGGGTCCGGCGGTGAAGGCCGCCATGGAGGAGGAGATCCGCAGCCTCATCAGCAACGGCACTTGGGAGCTGGTCGAACGCCCACCGGGGGTCAACATCATGAAGAACCGGTGGGTGCTGACGACAAAGTACCGCATCAACGACACCGTCGAGCGCGAGAAGGCGAGGCTGGTCGTGAAAGGCTTCACGCAGGTGTATGGCGCCGACTACGACGAGACGTACGCGCCGGTGAGCAGCTACGTCACGTTGAGGATCTTCCTCAGCATCGTCGCCGTCCTCAACCTCAACCTGATGCAGCTCGACATGAAGAACGCCTTTGCGTTTGCAAAGCAAGCTCGACCGCGTGCTGTACATGTACCAGCCGGACTACTTCTACGACGAGATCGGCGGGATGTGCAAGCTGCTGAAGAGCCTCTACGGGCTGAAGCAGTTGCCGCTGCTGTGGTACAAGGCTCTCAACGCCATGTTGGTCGGTGCCGGGTGGAAGAAGAGCCAGGTCGACGAGGCTCTGTACTTCAAGGTCGGCGACGACAAGGTGACCTGCTGGGTGCTGGTCTACGTCGACGACCTCCTCGCCGCGAGCAGCAGCACCGCGATGCTGAAGGAGCTGAAGGAGCTGCTGGAAGCCGCCTTCGAGCTGCGCGAGTTTTCTCCGGTGCAGAAGTACCTCGGCCTTGAGATCGTGCGCGACAGGCCGGCGCGGAAGCTGTGGCTGCACCAGCAGGGCTACGCCGACAAGCTGCGCAGGCGCTTCATCGACGAGGAGCAGACCGGGCGCACTCCGAAGACGCCGGTCTCCGTCGACGCCTACGCGCCTGCGCGGAGCAGACATTCGACGACGAGGAGGCGCAGGAGCGACAGGAGGAGGAGTATCGGCAGAAGGTCGGCTCGCTGCAGTTCGCGGCGACGACGACGAGGCTGGACATCGCCTTCGCCTGCAGCAAGCTGGGGAGTGGCCTCACGGTGAGGAGCGACCAGCACTGGCGCGAGGTCGACCGCTGCCTCACCTACCTCGCCAACACGCGTGACACCGCCCTGGAGTTTGGCGGTGGTCCGGAGTCGCTGGAGCTGGTTGGCTACGTGGACGCCGACGACGCTGGCGACAAGCAAACCGGATGAGCGCGGGCGGCTACGTGTTCGTCTACGGAGGGGCCGCGGTCTCTTGGTCGAGCCAGCGCATCAAGTGCGCAACGCTGTCGTCGACCGAATCGGAGTACGTGGCGGCCGTCGAAGCTGGCAAGGAGGGACGTCGCCTTCGCTTCCTCCTTGCGGAGTTCCGGCAGCTGGACGCCGGGAAGCCGACTGTCCTCCGGGTGGACAACAAGTCGGCCATCACGGTCGCCGAGGGCATGGGGTTGACGGGCAACCTCAAGCACATGGAGCGGCGACAGGATGGCTGCAGCACATGGTGAAGCGCGGGAAGTTCTCGCTGCAGTACATCCCGACCACTGAGCAGCCAGCTGACTTCCTGACGAAGGGGCTGCACTTTCCGGCCTTCAACCGGTGCTCCGTCGCAAAAGGCCAAGTGCGGCTGGTCGACGTGGTCGACGGCGACAACGACGTGCAGCAGTAGGTGCCATGCCCTCTTGCATGGCTGGTGCGGTGATCGGCGTGCTGTGCGTTGTGTGCACGCCGACGGGCTATTCTCCGAATAGTGCTGTGTGTGGGCTGGGGGGCCCAAACGTGAACGCGGCCGGGGAGTGTTACGGGAGTAGTGTTTGGCCCCGTCCTCGCTTGGGCGGAGCCGACCTCTAGGACCGCGGGGCCGCGGGAGAACCGCGGGACCGCGGGAGAACCGCGGGACCGTGGCAGAGCCGCAGGAGAACCCCGAATCCGCGGGAGAAACGCCGGGACCGCGGGAGAGCCGCGGGAGAACCGCGGGACCGCGGGAGAAACGCGGGGACCGCAGAGCCACGGGAGAACTGCGGGGCCGCGGGAGAACCGCGGGGCCGCG